GGGACCGCCCCTCCCCCCCGTCCTGCCTTTCCCAGGGACTGGGAGCGGAGCTTGCAGGCCAGAGGGTAAGGCCGGAGCTCGCAGGGAATATTCCTGCCCAGCATCTGGCAACCAGCAAGCACAGCCTTTCTGCAAAGCACTGCAACCCCAATGGCTGCTGTGTGCACGAGTCTATCCTCATTGCTCCTGGGTTCTCGTCCAAGAACTGCTTTCAGCTTGCCTCCCCAATTGTCTTCACATTTAAGAGTGTAACGCATGGTATTTACCTCTCTCCTTCCTTCCCGTGGGTAATCCTGTGGTCAAGGGCTGAAAACACCGGTTGAGACCAAAAATACTTTAAGATACAAAGCTTACCACGAGCATTGAGTATCCTTAAATAGGTAGGATATATATTTTTGCAAGCCATGTGACATTTATTATTTATAACTAATAAATATGTGACAGTTGAGAAATATGAAAGAGAGTTTGCTCTCTGTGTTCAGGGTCTCTCAGTTCACATGAGTCAGTCTCAGAGTCTGAAGCCTAAAAAAGGTCACTTTGCAATCTGTAAGTAGCTTTAAAGCCTTCATAGGCCTTAAAGCATTGGGCTTAGCCAGTGGAAAAAACCTCCTGGAACAAGGTAGCTCTTCCAGCAGAGAGCTGGAAAATGGAGAGAGCTGCTAAGTCTGCCAGCTCCTGCTTTTGATGCAGGTAGAGGAAGAAGAGCAGAAGGTTCTCTAGAGGCTGAGCGTATGTCTGATTCATCACAGCTTCAGCTAGTAATTCTCACCTTTGTCTATTCCAGGCTTGTCTCCAGATGACCAAATATAAAACTCGACGTTGCCTTATGGCTACATGGAACGATGGAGCTGGTGAGCAGTCCTCCCTCCACAGAACCCGGTACTCCCTTGTACCCTCTCCTGCTGCCTTTGCCATTGCAGCCTGCGCATCCCACCACAGCCACCAGCACCTGTAGCCTGCTGCTTCTCACCAGACCCACATCAGCCAAAACATGTGAAAGAGTAAGCATGTTTTCTCTAAATTCAGCCTTTCTTTCCATCCAAACCTCCAGTACCCGCCAGTGAAGGAAGGTGAGAGCCTAGGTGTCTCCCATCACACAGACAGTGACAGAAATACGTTGTCTCCCAATGCACAGCTGACTCCCCTCCCCTTCCACGTACTGAAAACCCAAGTGTTGGCACTTCCATAAAGAAGGAGCCTGAAAACACTGTCCCTCCCCCAGACTAGTTGCCCCATGGAGGACATGGACAGACACCCCTTTACAAGCAGCTGCAGCAATGAAAAAGGTTACTGCCCCTCTCGACCTGCCCTCAGGAGCATCTCTCAACCTGCTCCTGTCTGAACAAGCTGTGTTTATAACGCAAGGTTCCCCTTGCTCTGCTTTGGCTGAAGCAGGAGGAGTGTTTGCATGAGCTGGTCCACTGGAAGATGAGCCCCTGGGCTGGGGGAGGGATGACCTGCAAGCCACAGGGGCAAGGCTGGAGGCAGGTCAGTCTCCTTGGACTGGCACAGCTGAATTGGGTAAACAGCTGGTCCCTGCTTGTTTGGCAGAACCACGTGTGCTCATCCACCTCCCAGTAGTTAACTTTCCCTCAAGAGGAGTTTCCCTCCATGCTGCCTTACACGTATGAGGAGATCTGGGACAAAACCCCACCTTGCCACCTCTCTCCTGACTTCCTAGCCTTTCTTTAAACCAGCCAGGTTGTGAAGCTGATGCCAGCCGTCAGCACTGGGCTGTGGCTGATGCTCATTTTCTTGCACAATACTATGCTCGGCCTCCTGTTACCTATCTTCAGCCTTTCTGCTGTCGTCTTCTCTTCCTAGCTTCGTATTTTTTGTGCATCCATTGCAAGTAATTAGCTCTTAGAAATAGGAATTGCAAGTCTGGTTTCCTCAGGAAATGAGGCTTAGGTGATCATGCTCTGTATGTCCATAGATAACTGCTGAATACACCGGTTGATTTGATTTGGCTGATGGAGAGCGGGCTCAGAGCTAATTGAATTCCTACAAGTTTTGTGCAAGTAGGCTGCTAGCTGGAGGAGAGAGGAACCCTGAAGTCACATGCCAGAAAGAAAAGTAGCAGATAAATTTGTGCCTTGGTAGACACCAAAGAATTCATAAGAGAGATACACTAATAAGTGTCAAAAAAGCGCCTCAGTTTGTACCCACAAATGACCACGAGACATAAACCCGTAAGAAAACTGGACTCTTCTATGCTTGTTGAATTACTTGCACTTTTTATGTTGATTGCACTGTGATTGGGACAATAGCTTTACGTCCCTGAGAGGGATTTTTAGTGTGTTACTACAGACAGTGTGTGGGGGGAAAAAATAATAGCGATAAAGGTAGAATATACTAATGAACGTTTCCCATCCACAAAGCTATTTTCAGGGCAGCACCTTTCTGTAATCCTGCTGGCTTTGGCACTTCTCCACAGCCTTCTCTGCCACAGGCTTGTAAAAGTCTTGTTCAGTCTTAATACGCTAATTTTGCATCTGTTTCATTTCAAATGGTGGCACAACAGGGCTCAAAAGGACATCTGGGCTTTCTTAATCGTTCCTGCTAGGAACGAAAGGCAACGCTGGTGCTGCATCACCAGGGTCCACCAAACTGACGCAGTGCAGTTGTGTTTTGGCCATCTTCTCAGGCTGCCTGCTCTCCTGGCCTGTGAATCTTGGGAGATCTAATCACCAGAGGTTCACCTGATAACTTCAGGGCACCAAATCTTACCCCACCATTTTGAGGTTTTGTTTGCTGACAGCAGATACTCAGCCCTTTCCCACCCTGTTTCCCCTTCCAGGGACAATCTTAAAAGTCAGCAGACAACATGTAGGCATGTGCAGCCCTGAGAGAAATCAGGTGGCCTGCAAAGGGCAGGTGATGGATCTAAACCTGGCTCTGGGTTCCCAGCTCCTGACTGCTCACGCAGCAAAGGTGGTAAGTGCGGTATTAAAATCAGCGTGAGGCTTTACATGGTGACACACACCTGCCCAGAATTGGACAAAAGGGAGGATTTAATCACAGATCAATTCTAATTTTTCTGAGGGGGGAAAAAAAAGGCACTTTTCCACTGTGAGGCAATTCCAAAAAATAAAAACAACAACAAAAAGGCTTGTGCAGCAGTTTGCCTGCCGTGTTTTACGCAGTCGTGCCGTGTTACAGAGATAAACATCAGTGCTTCGCTTACAGATTGTCTCAACACCTGGAAGGCTGTTACAGAGACAGGTTTAATAATTAATTGCTATTTCCCCGAGACAATGCACCCTGGATCTCTTAAGGAGCATATTGCTCACCAGGTAACAGGAGGAGTAGGCAAAAGAGACAAAAGCGTTAGAAAAGATAAAAAGACCAAGATCAAATAACATTATTCCTCGTGTCATGGTGGAAGTGGGGCTATGCTCACCTGATCCCACGAGGAGGTTGCCTGGAGATGGTTCAAGAGACCTGAGGTCAAAATGCTTGTGTTCCAAAGTTGCTTTTAAGTAAATGACTTTCATACGGCTGGTGGCAGGAAAGATGGGAGCAGATCAATTCCTTGGTGTGACTATGGGCTTGTGTCGTGTCACCCTGCACAGATGGGGGTATGGGGGAAGAGCTGTTTTACCATCAGAAGAATATGGTACCTGTAAATGCTGCTGAGAGGTTCCTAGGATATGTCTTCTGTCTGTGCTATGTATTTTTCTCATCTATGTTTAGCACTATATTTTTCTATGAAAGCTATAGACCTAAAGCAATTAAATGCTACAATGAAGTGAGTAATAAGAGAAAATATTATTCTGCTGGGTTCCTTAGTGACCATGACCCAAACCATAAACATGCGCCATATTCTGGCAGCAGAGGAGCACTAGCATCTATTTCTATCTGTGTCTCAGGCACCTTCCCATGACAGTTGCCATCGCTTATCGCCTTGATGGGTGCCTGTGTGTTATGATGGGGTACCAAGAAGAAAGGTAATGTCTGTGTGCACACATGCATTGGGGGTGAAGGTAGAGGGCCAGGAGAAGGAGGTGGCAGGCAGGAGAGCAAGTGCTTGGAGAAAGGAGGCAGGCCTGGAGTACGCAAAAAAAATAAGCACATATGACAGGTAAAAGTGGACTTGGGTTGGGGTGGGCAAATGGTGTGTTTCAAGGTGCAGTGGATAAAAGCATTGGATGTGTGTCTAGGGAGGGAAAGACCTCCAACATACCAACTGCACCTTTCTCCAACTAGTGCTTATATTTTTTTAAATCGCTGCAAACACATAAGGCATTTCAGCCATAGGGATATTAATGATGCACAATCTTAATTCAAACCAGAGTGCAGGTACAAGCACCACGAGCAAAGGTTATCTGGCAAAATGGATGAACAGACACATAGCAGCTGATGGCACAGAGCTGTGCGTTCTGGTAGTGGTGCTGTTTTGCAAAAAACTCCAGTGCAGGGTGTAATCTTATCATAAAAGCTTATTTGACCAAATGTGTACGTTTACTGAAGTGAATAGTCTGATCTTCTTGGAATCGATGAGATGAGCAAAATTACAAACACATCTAAGGTATCTTCAAGGACAAGGCTAACTGCTGGTACCTGCTGAGCCGTGACTTTAGGCTGCTGGTGGTCAGTGCGTGTTTCCTCACTGCGCAAAGCCCACCAACATCCTGGGCAAGACACAAAGCCTGTTTTTGCCACGTTTTTTATTGCTGAAGAGGATCTTGATTTCAGCGAGTCAGATAATGTTCTCTGATAAACGTGTCAGTTCAGATGGCTTTGAAAAATGTGTTTCCTTATGAATTGTAGCTGGGTCTCAAGCTTCTTTGATAAGCACAGTGCACAAACTGAAATACCAATCATGGATCTGGGTAGTTAAATTACTTTTACAGATGTGTCTGATGCTGTTGGGCATGTTCTCCCAGGGCTGCTGTAAAAGGAAGGAGCTCCTGAGCTGGAAGAGGGGTTTAATAGAGGAAATTACTTCAGCTTGCACTGGCTTCTGTAAGATAGACAGTTGCTGAGGAAAAACTCTGGCAAGGTTACTCTTAGTTTATGGCCGGATCCTCAAAGTACAAGTCATCCTAGGCCAACTGAAGTTACTTTTATACTACCTGAGTTTCTTACCCTGTTCTTTATAATCATTTTTTGGTAGCTTTCATCTGTTAATCTGCTATGGAAAACCAGCCTAGGCTGAAGCACAGCGCCTATCTACCAAGTCTGTAAATCCCTCCTCTGTAAGACATTTGAACTAAGTCATTGTCCCTGGCATAGAGATTTCAAAATGCATAATGGCGAGTTGCACGTGAAGAACCCGTAGGAGCAACAGTGAGATGTGTTTGTGGAGATGAGGGAGTCGCTCTCTTAATTGTGAGAAGCAGCAAATAGCGTGTGTGACTCCACAACGTCTGGGGGTTTAAGCAAGAGCTGGAACGTGCAGTTGTGATACCATAACTGGCTTGTAAAGATTGAACCTATTTCAATTTTGGTCCCACCTCTGACGAAACAGCTTTTTCCTATCTCCTCCTTAGCTGTAAGTGTTGGCTCTCTCGCTATCCACCACTGCTCCAGCACTGGTGATAACATTCAGCACTTGCCAAGTACTTTGCATACTTCCAGCGTTGGGAGAAACATTAGCTCATTAAATCTTCCAGTAGTCTTTCCGTAGTAAGAGCAGTCGTTAGAATTGTCTTCGCTTTATGGGCAGGAATAAGGGAGAACGGAGAGTTTAAGTGACCTACCCATAGCAAATTAGTGGCAGAGTTAGGACGGTGCTATTGATTTCTGCACATCCTCTGAAGATTCCTGAAAATTATATTCCCTATTCAGTCAGCTGAATAGCCTTGGGCTTTATCTTATAGCACTGGTGTGGACTTGGATCTAACAGGTAGTGAGACTTCAAATTTCTGACACTGATTTTTTTTTTTTTTTTTTTTTTGTCTTCAGAACTCTTTAATGCTAACTGTGAGGCACTGGAAAGAAAATATTAAGGCTGAGTTCCCATGTCTTTCCTCACTCTTGAATGAAATAAAAAATGAAAAAGAAAATATCAGAAGGACTTACGGGGCTTTGCACATCAGTGTTTGTAAAGTACACCATTGCCTGATGGAGAGATGGGAGAAGCTGCTCAGTGGTGCCACCGCTTCCCTGCTGAGTCGCAAGGTGTGTGTGTGGTGCTAACGGTACAGGAAGGGGAGTACGGTCCTCCTAGGTCCTGGCAAATCTACCGCTCTATACCGAGCTTTGTGGATGGGAGGGCTTAGGACAAACCACCCTAGCATTCCTTCATGGCTTTGCTCATGAGCCTAAGACTCTTCATCATCTTTTGCACTTTTACCTGATTCCTTGCAATAGCCATGGTGGTGGAGTGGTGCCCTGACTTTGCAGAGCAATTGCATGCCCTGATTTTTGGAGAGGTCTCTCCCCATCCTTCCATGCAAGATCATGGCTTGGTATCGTACACTCCCTCAGGAGCTAGCTCTTTAACGTGTGCTGAACTCAAACCAAATGCTGGATTGGATTTTCTGTGTTGCTATTCATGTGACAGCAGTCATCGGCATGCAACTGTGCATCTCCCTTATTCAGATCACAGCTGCCCTGGGTAGACTCCTCCTTGCATCCTGGAGCAACTGCAAAATACATTAAAACAAAAAATACTTTAAAGTATGGGGATGTTTCCAAATTAATACAACCTTTTCCAGCTACTCATTTGGATGTCTTCTGTGAAACGTGAATCTTTAAAGTTTGATTGCCACTCCACGGCCATTTGTATTTTGCATCGAGGCCTATGCAATGATTTACTTTTTACTCCATTTGCCACTGATAAGAATGGATCATCTTTAGAATTTGATTTCCTCTGCAGAGTTTTCTAGGAGTTGGAGGTTGAGTGATTAATTTTATTGGGACAATAAATTATAAAGGAAGGACTATGTCATTCTTCAACAATGCTTCTTCCCCAGATGACAGCATAATAAATTACAGGCATACAGCAAATTCCTAAACGCAATCAGTTGACTCGTTGGGCTGGGTGGGTGGAATAAGAGCAGTGCCAATGGCTTCGGTCACTGAAGTCACATGGAAGCTTTTACCACTGGCTTAAGTCAGCACTAGGTGATCTACTTGTGACAGATGGTTGAGCCTAAAAGCTCACACCGAAAAAGTTTTCTTTTGACAAGGTCAGCTACTGTGTGCATTGCTGAAAAATATCTTTCCTAATGTATTGTATTTTAAAAAGTAGGGTTTGCCTTGCTGGATTGAATGATTAGTCTCTTAAGATTTTCACCTGGACATCATCTAACGATCGATGTCCAAGACTTCAAAGCAAAAAAGTAAAAAAAAAAAACCAATAGCACAAGAAGTCCCAAATGTCTGCTACTTACATAAATACTGTATAGGGACAGGAAAGGTCTGTTCTCACCCCCCTGATTTTTCAGCTTCCATCTTGAAGATTTGCTTATCCTTCCATTCGTGTCCAAAATGCAGATATTCTCAGGTAACAAAGTTAGGTAGCCCCTTTTGTTGCCTTGCAGCACCCTGTACCCGAGCAGCAATGTATCGATGGTGTATTCCATCAGGGATGCAATGTGGGCTGCAAACCGCTGTGGCTTGGGAGCTGCTTCACAAAATCTTTTGAGAAGAGGGGGCAGGAGGTGGAATTGGTAATTGCACAAGCTGTCCTACTGCATTTATCCCTTCTCATGAGTTAATTCATGGATATTAAGTCCAGCAGGGACTGTTATGGTCATCTGCACTGAACTCCTGCTTCCATTGTATTAATTTAACCTAATTCCTGCGTAGGGCCGAACGACCTGTGACTGAGCAAGAATGTATTTTTAGAAATGCCATTAATCCTCTTTTAATCATTTCGCATCATGGAGAGTTCTCTAAAAAAGCCTTGGAAAGCCATTCGTCCGATTTTCCTAAATGTGACCAGGAGGTAATTATTCTGCCCAGGGCGATGCTAGGAGTTGCTGGCCAAGGTCAGGGAACAGAACCGGGTGAGCAAGCTCTCAGCCTGTGCTGCCGATGTAAGAAATCCTTCCACTCCAACATCTGTAGGATGTTCTCAATCAAAGTGAAACACACAACTTGCCTTTCTAAAACCATCAGCTGTTAAGTTGCATTAAGCGTCCCTGCACACGATGCCTCGCTGTGCGGTCTCTTGCTGGTTTGGATTGTGTTCTAAGGTGAAAAGCTGCTCTTCAGGAAACCGGCAGTCAGTGTAAGACTAGGGTTTAGAATCTCTTAACTATATTTTCTTCTCCTCTGTATGGCTGAATAATTAAAAAGCTTCAGTAACCGGAGGCAGGAGAGACAGCTGCTGGCTTCTAGGCATGACCCCCTAACTTGTACTATTTATACTTCTGACAGAATTAACCAACATAAGGTGTGTCGAATGCAGGGCAGCTCCTGGTCAGAAAAACAAGAAATCTGTTGGTTCTTTTGCTCTTACTCAGGCAAATTTCTGCTGGTTCTTATGCAAAGCCATCACAATTTGGCTGATCAGCTCTGCCTCTTAAAAAAACATGTACTCTGTCCTTTTAGGGGCCATAATGTGTTCTTAAGAATTTGGGCCACAGGTTTTGAGCAGAAAATCTGCTTAGTGGCCCAGATATTTATAAAGCTGCTAGCAAATACAAAGAGGGAGGCAGCACGACAGATGTGCAGGCGCAGTTAGGGGGAATTGTTACACGCAGGAGAATCGTTTGTTGCTGACATGTGTCGCCCCTGCCCGCTTGACCCACTTGCCCTGCACCCTTTGTAGGGCACTTGCTGTTGTGTGGGTTTGTTTTTCTGGCAATGTCCCAGAGAATCTTACTTTAAAATGTGTCATCCTTGGGGGGAGGGGGGGCTGAATCCTGTTCTCTTGGGGTTCATTGGGGCTGGATGCATCTTATTCTGAAGTCCAAGGCAACAAGCTTTACAGGGCCAGTAAGAAAAGGAAGGGGGAAGGAAAGTAAGAAGAGGTATCAAAGTCCCCATATATTTACTATATTCTTAGCTTGAGAACTACTGAGCTGGAGCCTTCCCTAGCCCCCGCTGGTGAGGTTTCCTTGGCAGAGCTACAGAAACAGCCAGGATGTTACAGTCATGGGCATTTACTTTCTCTGATTCAGGCAATTTTGGTTTCTAAAGGTGTGTACAGTTGATTAAATCTCTTTGTCCAAAGCACCATCTCAAGGACTCATTACTCACTTCAACCTCAATTTAGACTCACGGGTTTGAGGCTAGACCAGCCCACCATCTTGTATGTACATGGGCAAGGTTCTTTGATGCATTTTTTTTACCTTCGCTGTTCACCACATTGAAATGCATTCTGTTTCTTTATGCCAACTTCATCTTCAGACCAATAATCCTGGCATAGTCACTTAACAATCTTTGAGTGTTTGCTGCAGAGAAACTTACTCTGAGTCATTCTTCCTCCTTTTGCTTCTTTATGGTTACCTGTTAGGTTGAATCAGGAGAGAAAAACCTTTTCCTTGCTGAAAGTTGAATGGGCTTTGATGAGCCTTAAATTCAAACTGAGCTAATGCTTTCAACGTACTGGGGGTGAGGACTCATGTGGGCAAGGGACTGTGAGCCACAAGCTTCCTTTGCCTGGATTAATAGTGATAGTCAATATAGTGATTGCTATTCAGAAAGTAAACATTCTTAGAAGTGAGCCATTATACAGAATCTCTATATTCCTATAAAATAACATTAAATCAGTCACATCAGGTTCGATAAAATGTTTTTTTCAGAGACAGCTTCCAGAGAAAGTAAAGAATTCACTGTGCTTCTATGATCACAGTTCTCTCTAGGAGCAAGCACTTTATTATATTGTGTATCTGGCCCCGTAACAGCAGTGAAAACCTGTGTTTAGAGGAACCCAGCTTTCTAAAGGACCAAAAAACTGAGCTGGCATGCTAGTTCTGACAAGGGTAGAGCATTAGCCCTTCTCTGGAATTAGACCAAATGATCAAATTTTGTCGTCGTTTCATCTGAACAAGCAAAACATGGCACAAAGATTGTGAGGCAAGTATGTTTAAAAATTTAACGAACTCCAAATGTGTCGCAGGGTTTGATCCAAAGCCCGCTGAAGTCCATGGAGGGGAATGCTTTCTCAAACACAATGTGAATGAGGGAAAGGCAGAAGGAGAAAAAAAACAAAACAAAACAGGGGACAACTTCAGGAAAAGAGCAAAGGAAAAACCAGAATAAAGCGACAGGCTAATCAGAATTTTATCACAGCTCTCCCTCCTTAATCCCCACGTATGTTCCCCACTACTTGTGTTATTTCTTCACTTATTCTTTATGGTAAGGCCACAGCTGGGACCCTGTTTCTCAAAGAGAAGCTCCCTGCACTGGGGGTTTGGCCAGCTGGCTGTAAGACTCTGCTGTTCACACCAAACCTTGCAAGAAAGATATGCTCCTCCTCCACCTCGGACCTCCCCAACTGGCAACTGGAGATGTCTTCACTTCTCCTGGGACCTGCCCCTCTCTCAGCCCCCGCAGAGAATTGTAGGCGCTTCACTTGTGTGCTGCTGTGCCGCAAAATCTTTCTTTTAGCCTCCTCCTTGCGGATTCAGTTGTGGCTCAGAAACAGAGAGCGCCAACCACAACAACTTTCTCTAGGGGTTCAGAACTAATCTTGACACGATCTGTTGGAACCAAAAAAATGAACTTCTTTTGAATGAGACTGGATAAAAAAATTAATGCGAAAGCTTATCTGATAAGGTAGCTTTTCTTAGTTTATGGAATTATTCTTCAAGCCTATGCATGTTTTCTATTTGCCTTTCTTCCAAGCTGAAACTCAATCCAGGCAAAATTTACCTTCTCCTCCTTTATGATCATCAGACTTTTACTTGAGTGAACTTTAGTCAGTTCTGTGTTTCAGCCAATTTTTTTTTGCAGCTCCAGTCAAAAGCACCAAACCTTCTTAAAGTAGACAAATCATATATTTAGTACACTGTGGAGCCAGAGTCGCTAATGAGCATGGAATTTCTCATCGTCAAGATGGGCGGTTGCAAGAGAAAACACTACTTAGAAACATTGCACATTTCTTGAATAAATCCCCCATCAGGAGCCCGGGCTGCTAAGCTATTGAAAAAGTAGGGTAGTCAGCAACAGAGAAACATTTGGCAAGTTGAGTGTGATCAGTCAGATTATTTGCCATTGAAGTCAGTAGATCAATAGGTTCCTGTACCTCTCCCCCAAAGAAATATTTTTTTGCTGAAAAAATACCATGTAAATGATGAGAATCTGCTTACCACTGTGGTTAGGATGAGATACATCGGGTTTTTATTTTCTGTGCTTTGTGTGTTAAAGGCTCTAGGCAGGTGAAAAGATGTGTGGCACTGCATTAATGTGAAACAGTAATGGCAGTTGCGGAGGTGGAAAAGGGGTGCTGGATCATCTTGATTAAGGACACCAGATGTGGTGCCGCTTACCGCTCTGACTTGCGCTGTTTGGGCTGATCACAGCGCAGACCATGAGCCAGCCTTAAGCCGTTGGGACACGTCAGGTCTCTGTCATCACCCCACGTTCTCCATGGGGAGATGCAAATCCTCCATTTGCTTAGGTTCTTCCCCCAGCTTGTCTTTGGGTGCCCCACAGCACTGAAAACACCCCTGCGTGTTTTCAGAGGTGTGCCGCAAGCAGGGAGTTTGGCCGGCAGCCCCGGTCACGCAGGTTTTGTGTCCCCTCCTCTCAGCTACACTGGAGCAGACCTGAACCACCGGGGCGTTACGGCTTGTGTCCAGAAACTGAGGACAGAGAAACACAGAGTGTTATTCACGTTTGGAGGAGTTTGGGTTTTCTTAATCTATTGTTCGAATGTTCAAGGAACTTTCCTAAAGCCCATACTCTCCAAATTATTTACTATTCTAATTAATTATAGTAACCCCTGCTGCTTTGTCATATGGGAAGTAAACAACTGCTTTGACTAACTAAATACTCAAATCAGGTTGGAGACAGTTTTAATTAGTTGATTGCATTAATCACAAAGTCTGTTCGTTGCTGTTCATGTGCCATGGAGCAGCAGAAACGGCTGTTGTTATGCAACGAGACCGCAACCAACGTGCTTCTTCCTTCGAGACAGTTAAAAAAGCTGTTCTGTCCCTATCTTGTAATATGTAACGACAGGTGTACTTTTTCTTCGGTTTTTGTCTTAGCATTTAATACAATTACTACCTGATATATAATTTGTTGGGGAAACAGACCTTACACTACCAAGAGAACGGGTTATGGTAATTTACAGAGGCAAGGTACAAGTTTGCAGTGAAATGGGAATTCCGTGAGTACTGTGGTACGCCCTGTTCATATCTACCAAAGGTTGAGAAGGACAAAAATACCAGAATCTGAGACTGGATTAATGAATGCATGCACAGAAAAAAAAGAGAGAAAAAAGCCCCAACTTTAAAGTACTTTTCCAGAAAAAAAATGCCATAAAGCACTGTAAAAAATCTAAACCTATGTGTTTTGCTCCTATGTGCTGTAAAATTAATGTGGAAGTCTGAAATCTGGTATCTAGTAAGAGAGTGGAAAAAATGCAATGCAATTCATTCGAGAAGCATATTTTGCCACTTTAAAAGATGGACGAATTAATCTACAGTAGCCATATTTGAGAAATATATGTAGTGCTCATAAAAATCTTCAGGCTGACATCAATGTATATAAACCCTGTTGGGCCATCTCCTCTGCAGTGTAAGTGATGGCAATTGCTCTGAAATCGATGACCCAAATTCTGACAATTTGGACTGGCTGCAGGTCTGCCTGTCCTCATTTTTCATACGATAGGTACAGAATGGGCAACGGTGAGGCTCAGCTTCCCGTGCAGGGCAACGGCTTCTCCACCCTGATCAAAAGGGGTTATTCCCGGATCAGAGCTGAAAGAGATGATAAACCTGCGTACATTGTTCAGTCCTGGGTCTTTGTATTGTGGTCAGCAGTTCATGAAAAACCTAAGCGGGAAGCACCACCACCTCTTCTCCCCTCGGCTGCCAGGTGGTAACTTCTCCCAGGCACTACTAACCTGGGCCCGACTCACGCAGTAGCCTGGAGGTAAAAGATACGTAACCACTAATGAATCCTTTGAATTGCCAAGTTCCCACTTCTTTCACCTACATTATACTTTTTAAGGCTATTTACCAAAATCACACAGTACTCTTTGAAGAAGAAAGTTTCTGCTTTTCACAGGTATCATTCTTTATGTCCTGTCTATGGAAAATTGCATGTGCATTGTATCACTGCTATGAGTGTTATTTATTATTATCTCTACTGGGAAATCAATTGGTGCTGCAGAGGATAACAACAAACACTTAGAGCAAAGAGGAGATTATGTTCTCCTGTGGATGACACTGATAGATGGTAAATAGATGGTCGGAGAAAACCCTACAGTTAGCCTGGCAGGATTGACCTTAAACAGCTACGTAGGCCTATATATATTCTGATTTCAGCCTGCCACCAAAGCAAAAAGCACTGGGTGCAGAACACATGTAGGCTGAGTGCCAGCATTAAAATTGCATTTCCATCACTTTTGTTTGTTTTTAGAAAAATGCTCTTGGGTCTCTTTGCTTGAGTAGTGAAGCAAGAATTTAATTATTTTAATATGAGGCTCTGTGGCCTGAAGTGGAATAGCAGCCAGTAGTCCTTTACTGTTCCTGCAGTCAAAAAACAATACTAAAATATATCAAAGTGTCTGACCTCCCCTGGCTCTCTGAAAACCTCAGCCACTGCGTCTACTGCATATCCCCTGATTAAAAGCATGTTCCAAGGCTCCACTGCACATCATGTCCCTGATTTGACCTTTAAGTTTGTTCTTTTTGTACCTTTCAGAGGCAGTGGAGGTGATCTCTCAGAGGATTATTTTCATGTAAAGGCCTACGGAGGCCACAGTACGTGACAGGCACTGTACAGACTCCTAATTGAGCGGTAGTACCTGCTCGGGGTGAGGCACAAACCCCACCTGTGGCAAGTAGGAATCCCCTAGTATTTTCTGTAATAAAGATACAATGCCCTAACTCAATTCCAGTTTGGGTAATTACATTTTCTAGTTGCATTGGCCAGCGGTATCACCAGGTATGTAGCGTTCTGCATTTACTGCTTTAGCTGTTGCTAACAAACTGTTCAGCTATCGCACTCTTAGCTAGTGCTGAAGGCATGATGATGGACATTCTCAAAATCTGTAAAACAAGCAGAGCTGATGGAACAGGCCCACCTCGCACTGCAGAAGTAGTTGCAACTCAGAGAGAAATGAGGTTTCTCCTTTATCTCCTTAGGCCTAAAGCTACTTCCTTGGAATTCAGTAACAAACTGTGACCGATTCCGGGGCAAATCTGGTTCCAGTCCTTCACTAGCAGATGGACTTTGGATTCGCAGTACGTGAAACTTGCACCATATGTGTAAGATAGCATTGTTTTTCTACGTGATCTAATAAATAACTTTCTGTGACTTCTTCGGGTCCTAGCCTTGGCAATTTTAAAACCTTGTGTCATTGTTTTCTGAAGGGCGGCATTTGCATTTTTGAAGAAACCTAGCAACACTCGTGTGAAAGAAAAATAATTAAAATGCGGTAGACTATTAGAAACGCAAGACTGAATTACAGTCTACTGGGGAAAACTAATCTAAGTGTAGCTAATGACATCCTTTAGAAAGTGAAACTCAGCTAAGAAGATATATTAATGCCATTTGTATTGATAATCTATGTTAATGTTCGCAAATATTTTAATTTAAATGATTCAAAATATTTTAGGGAGTCTATATTTAAAGATCCAGTGGAGTATCCATCAAAGTGACAGACAATTTTTTTTTTCTCATTGGTATCTTAGACATGTTTACAGTTCATGGTATCAAAAAATGGAAAATTAATATGAAAATCCTAACAGGAAAAATGACTCTTAATACATTTAACTGAGATGAAAACCAAAGTAATGTATGTCGGGAGAAATATGTAGGTAAAGCTAGTGAAAAAGAAGCTGAAGCAAAGAAAATTTCACCCTGGCCCTATTAATCTATGATATAGTTTAAGGCAGATGGAATGGTCCCTGTTCAACCACAGCTATGCAAAAATCAAATTACATTTTACCACAACAGACACACGGTTAGTTAATGTGACGCTGAATGGGATTTAACTTTGTCTCTGCTGACTATTCCATTGTGGCCAGCACATTCTAACAAATCTACCTTGATTTTTCCATGACTGTTGAAGCACAGTAACATCTGGCTGGGCAGACAAGGTTTAAGATTTTGGTTTACACTTGAAGGCTTTGTGTTGTGTAGGGTGAATTTTATGACATAACTACTTCAACAAAAGCCCTAGCGTAGACACAATTGTACCAGCAAAAAAAAAGTGGTTTTGATGTTATGGCTTATATCGCTTGCCAAACTGGAATGCATTTTACAGGCAAAAAGCACTCTAATTATGTAGGAGGAGTTTACTGGCATAACTACACCAGCATGACAAAACTTTCAAGTGTAAACAGGAGCTAGGTGCTTATTTAAGTCAGTATGTCTTCTAACCACTTAACAATGTATAATTTATTTCCCAAAGCCTCCCCTTCCCCAGCCACACGCTGGGTCTGACTCTCACCCCGTTCAGAAGTCAGCAGCAGGACACCAGCCCGTCGGAGAGGGAGCATCGGGCCAGCTCCTTTGGAGAAAGGCTGTGCCAGTGCAATTCGCCCACTAGCAGAGGGTGGTATAACGAGAACAGCAATGCCCTGGGAAGTACAACAAAATGCAAAAAATTAGTCCTTGCCCTACTTTTACTTATGCATTTGTACGACTTCTTCTCACGCTTCCCCCCATAACTCGTGCCAGCTCTAACCTCCTTCTTAATCAGTGTAGGGGTGCAGCTGGGACAAAAGGGATTTAAGAAAACGGCGTGAGATGCTAACTGGGACCCGGCAAGCTGCGCCCTGCACAGAGCAGGTTGTGCGATGCGGCTGCCAGGCCAGCGTGGCTAGGCTGCATCTGTGTGAGGATGCATTACCAGCTCTCGTTGTTAACAGCTTGGCTCGTCCTTCCAATTCACGGTGCAGGCGGAGGACGGACCTTATGCCTGTAGGAAGACTGTGGGCAGAAGGTCAAGTTTAAAGGATTACAGCAACTGGGCAGTAGAGCTTGCACCATACCTGCCTATTGTATTTCTGACTGTTGCCATCACTATTTTAATGAGCTCTACATTTACCCCTTCCACTCTCCCGCCACCCCCAAAAAATGCAAGTCAGGCATGGAAACACCTATTTTGTACTTTTTCTGGTATTTGGGTTGAAAAGGGCTAAAGAAAAAAAAAAAAATCGGTCAGATCGCGTTCCATTAATATTTTGGAAATCCACAGGCTTAATGAGAGAAAAGAGCTAAATGCATGCCTGGTGTCACTAGCAAGTCTGGAGCATGCAAGGGAAAATGCTTTTAAAATCTTTAAAGTAGATGACCATGCAAAGACACAGACACACAACACTTGAGACAAAAGGTGTTTAATTAGATCAGGAAAAGTCTTTGTTCTAAGTAATTAAAGGTAAAATTCCAGAGCAGATGAGAGAAATCCAAACTCCTAAAACATTTTACAGCTTGAAAGAGAGATCTGCAAGGGCTCAGAGATAAGCAGGGAGAGGCAGAAGATGAAGCCAGGTTGCCTGCTTATGCAGCCCTACTGAGGCACTGCAAGGGCTGAGCAGTAGGTCCCTGCCCATGTAGGGTGATTCAAAGCACCAGAGACAAGCATACAGACACTCTCTACAACCAAGGAGTAGAATAAGCAACCTCCAAAGAATGACAAAAAAAATCCCACATTGCTAACCAGGGAGCTGCCTTGAATTAGTCTGTAGGTAGTACTATGCAAAGGCGAAAAGGGAGCAATATAGCCTGGACGAGATCTGAGGGCCATTGGGTTCATCTACCCAGCTGAAAACAGGGCCAGTTTAATTCGGGTACCTGGCACCTTGCTGAATTCTTGTCCTGCTCGGGAGGCTGGGGGTCTCGCTCCTTTTGCATGCTGGTTACAGCTCAGTATTTAGCAGGAAGAGGGTTTACTCTTTAAAACAAGGCTGGGGTGGTGATGGCCAGTTTTGCAGAATGACCTATCCACTAAAGCATGCACCCAGGCAATGGGACTTGGGATCAAGCCATATGGCATTGCCCAGGGCGTGCTGTAATCCCCAACCTACAGCATAGCCTGAGAAAGAGGGAGACGTTTCCCCCTGCTAGAAAAGCCGGCCCGTAGGCAGCTGGGCTCAGACAAGAGGTTAGGGCGACCTGCCACGCAGTAGGGCACCCAAGCTTTGGTCCTTACTCTCAGAGCTGCTAATGGATGTTATATTAGATAGCACCTTCTTTTTATGGGACACAAATAATCCTGGCATCAGGGACAAGCAATACAGACAACAGAACGGTAAGTTTGTGGATCCTCATGAAGTGGAGATGTTGAGGTATCAGTACTGCCCGTGCTGAAACACCTCTGGACGTGCTCAAGGGTGCAAGCACATGAGGATGTAACAAATCTAAGATTTACTAACCAAAGCCTTCACTCAGAGGCTGGCAGGGTGGCTATAGGCATCATGGTTTTGGAATTTGTCATCACGAGAAGGAACTGTTTAAGACCGAGGCACCTACGTATTTTTGGAGGTCTAACTGTAAAGATACACACACTACAGTGACTGTTTTACATGGTAAAAGGTTTTATATGATAGAGTTCAACCTCCTAGATGAAAGAAAGCTGGAAAAATCCTCAGTCCGCTGTGAACTGAAAATGTTCCTTTTTCTTTCATTTGTTCTGTGTACAACAAAGTCAGGTATTAGTCGTGTAATCTTTCGATTCTGATTGTTTCCAATAAAATCCATACTTCGCAACAAGCTTTGCTGTACGAGAGTCATGACTAAGCTTTGAATAATTTGGATTCTACTACAATTTTAATAGCATTTTCCAGTTTAGTGCTTTCTCCCTTCTCTGTAAGGGTTGCTATTATAAGTTTATAAGAAGATTTCCCAGCAAGAGGATTTCTTACCACCCAAAGCTTTCCTGCGGAGACACTCAGCAATATTAGCAACTGTTTTTTGAATTACACTTACGACACCGTTATACAGCTACCAAGTGTACTGCATTTCCCTTCATTAACAAGCTCACTGATGTTTCCTGAAATTTATTTTACTGAATTTATGCATATATGAGAGGTAACTGTCAAAAGTTGTATCTTTTTTCGGTGCTGGCCAAGACCAAAAAGCTTTAAGCTCACAATCCAACTTCTGACCAGTGTGTGGGAATGGACTCCTCATCATCTGCCAAACCATTTCCTAGGTACGTCTTTTAAAGGAGCTTGCCACAAGTGGAAGTGGGATTACGTAGGATTATGCAGACTAAACTAATCATCTAAGGCAGGTATCAAACAGTATAAAAAATATCCAGATGATTCCTGGGAATCTTTTCTTCCTAGCAGATTAGGAGAGAAAACAGGAGAGCTAATTTATACCTTAGCAAACAGAAAGTCAGCTTGCTGCTCTCTGAAGGAAAAGACAAATGCTGAGTCTTTATCAAAGGTACTGCAGGAGTATTTCTAACCCCCAGGAAAGAGTTAAAACTTCCCAGTGGTTGCTGAAAGCCTGTTGTCAGGATCACTAACTGGCCAATTAAAGTTTATTTTGATTAGGAAGAGCTCATATTTTACTGGAAGAGTATATGAAATCTTAACTATCTGTCACACTAACTTTTCTGGTCATTTAATTGGAAAGAAGATGCTTAAGAAAGTCATTAATTTTTTAAATTCCTAGGGACAGCCCCAAAAAGGATCTGAGCTTCGAATGAGGGATTTGCATTGCTTAACTCCGAAAATCATCTTGTGAAGAATGTTGTTTGTAAGTCACCAAACTGAAAGGTTTTTCTTTCTTCTTCACGCTGAAAGGACCATGCATCGCACAGGTGCCCCGATTTTCTGCACTGTAGTACATGCCCAACACGTACTGCGCACAAACAGCAGTGTTCTACCCCAGGCCTGCTATGCTACACACAGGCAAGGCTCTTCAGGAAGGTAAGATCTTTTTTGGTGGTGGTGGTGGTTGTTTTGTGGTGGGGTTTGGTTATTTTTTTGCTAACTATATCAGCTCACTCGCTCTTACTCTCTCTCCATAGGTATCTCAATATTTTCTTGTTGCCCGAGTCGGATAGCTCTGGACTCAGTATTTGTGTTTCTGGCAGTCTCATTCAATGACCCACTGCCTCTGCCCTTGGGTACAGGCTTTTTTGGGGGTCCCTATGGGGGCAGAGCACTGCAGCGCCTGTGAACCTTTTGGCTTCGGTCTCACACAGAATGCAGCTTTGTCCTTTTACTTCTGCCCCTGTGAAAGTCAGGGAAGTGTGTGTAAGAAAATGTTTTCTCTTCCACTTGTGATAGAGCCTCAATAGCTCAGCTGAAATTGCCTGGATGTTCTAAACTTATAAGCATCATCCCACCAGAGATGTGTTCTTGAATGTTAAATTTAGGCTAATTGGAGGCATATCCTTTAATTTAGCAAGCTGAGGTTACTAATACGGATCAAGAGCTAAAAATTAACAGTGGAGCTGATGTATGCTAAATGCCTAAGTGATATCTTAACCTATAATTATACAAGTTCTGTTAATAGTGAATAATTCAAATCTTCAGGGATTTCAATAGTCTAATGGGCTGTAGTTATTTCCAATTTACATTATGGTTGCTAGGTTTCATTAAAATGAGAAGAAGGCTGTATAGCGTAGCAGAAGAAAATTGGTGTTTGAAGTTATCACCCAGGAATCAAAATATGAAATTTAAATTAGAAGGTGTCCAAGCAACACAATGACACCAAAGCCGAGCGCTGATAATGAAAGTAGGAAGAGAGCGAGTTTGCAGAGAATATTAAGGGAAGACGGCACTACTAGCAACACGCTCCCTAACAACGACACCTCAAACGCTGCGCTGCTGTAGCGCGTAAGGAGTCCGAAACATATTACAAACGTCAATTAAGCCTTGCTACGTTCTTCTGAATTATTTAAATTTTGTTATCACTGATTTGCAGATGGCAGGCTGAGGCACGATAAAGCGCACGGCTTATGTGAAGTCATGCGATGACTCAGTAGGATGTGAGAGCAGCAGCTCGGGGCTGCAGCCTCCCCGCTGCCCGGCCGCCGGGTGCAGTTCCGCCAAGCCGTTGCTTCGGGGGGGGCTGCTCACCCAGTCCCCCTCCACGGTTTGCCACTGCCTGTTTCATCTGCATACCATGGCCCTCGGTCTTCTCAGCTGGGCTGAGACACGCGTGTTTGGGAGATGCGCTACAGACCAGATCTCTCAAAGCAAGGTGGGTTAAAGCTAGCACTGGGAGTTGGGATCCACCTGGATCACTGCGGACATCTGGCTTGCAGAGCAGTCCCACAAACACTTACAGCAGCACGACTGCAGGGATGGCAAATCACAGCGGGGAGGGATAGCAGGAGCTTGGAGAGACCACCTTCAGCCAGCGTTGCCACCACCGAGAAAGCGCCATGTATCCAGCCCCAGCCATGTGTGTCTCCGCAGACCCAGGATACACTTTTAGGGGGCCACGGTGTACATCCCCCCAAACCCAGTTACTACAGCTAACAGCTGCTTCTTAGGTCAGCCCACCCAGGCTTTCAGAGTAAGTCTAGGTTTTGCTGACTCTAGGCTTAAATCTGCCAGTGTGACCCATCGCTACTAGTCACAGTGAAGCGGTCCCCCCCGGCTCCCGCTCTTCTGAGCCATACCATATGCAGGCAAACTATTTTTGGAACAACGAGGATAAATTAGATTACTTGATAGATAGTAAAAATACCACGTAAGTTAATAGGAACAAGCAGCATGTGTTACAATTCAGTAGAAGTCAAGGTATCTGACACGTTTTGATATCTAAATTTGACTTTAAATTTCTTTTTAATTCTTCTGGAGTGTACTTCAAATACAGAGTATCTGCTGCTTATGAGCAGATTAACAACTAAAATAAATGTTCTTTTGTACCTAAAGATTAGCTATTTCATCAGTGTTTTGTTAGTGATTCATGTTACTTTATCTAAATTCAGCCTCAAATTCCTCACTTGTGTATCAGTTCAGTTTTTTGAATCTAAATTAAGTACCTGAATTTCTCTAAGAAGGCAGAAAATACTGTGGGGTTTGTTTGTTTGTTTGTTTGTTTTAATTTAAACGAGAAGGCAGAAAATACTGTAGGGTTTGTTTGTTTGTTTGTTTGTTTGTTTTAATTTAAACACCTTGAAGTGCTGCAGTTTCCAAGTTAGTGAATGAGCCACAGGATGAAGATTTATAACTAAATAGTTCTTTCTTTATAAAATAGGTTTTCCCAACAGCTCCTTTTTATTTTTTCTGAATCAAAGTAATCTCTTACATCTCACTCTGAAATACATGCACCCATTTTGTAACATATTGCTAAATATCTCTGATTTACATAAGAAGCAACAGCAAAACTCCACGTACATTGTGTTAGTTAAATTATTATTATTATTATGTAATTACATAATGGAGAAATAATAAATTCAAACTCTTAAAATGCTGATCATGAAGTATATTAAATTATAGCATTGCCTCAACTGCTGGGCAGGTGTGCTCAGTGGGCACACCCTCTGCCATGCAGACGATGGGAGAAACCAGAGCACAACCCCACTTCTCTCCTGGAAACCGAAGGAAACCAACACCTAAGGAGACATTTTAGACCTCTGCTGTGTCCTGCAACCAGGACACGCTTTGGGGTTCACAGCTGCAGGACTCTGAAGTGGTACCTAGCGATTCACAATAAATATGCATCGCACCAAGGGATCCAGAAAAATTATGTGCTTCTGCGGGCAGGCTCACTCTGAAATTGTAAGTAAAAAGAAATCCTTCCCAAGCCTAGTTTTGCACGCAGCAGACCATGGGGGGTCAGCAGGGTTGGATTTGGCTGAGGAACACGTGCTGCAGCCGTCAATGACCACGAGGCCCGAAGTCCCCTGAGCCTTGCTCTTCAAGCTACGAGTAATCTTGAGCAAACCGCATCAGCCTCCCAGTAGTCCAGCAAAATGCTGTACCTATCAGAACCACATAGTGTAATTACTGAGTGGTTGAAAACCACTTTCAGATTGGTAGAAGAGATGCCTTGTTACTACGGAGTTATGTTAAGCAGTAACAACACAAATCAATAAAAATAACCAAATAATTAACCATCGTCAGATACTTAACACCCATTGCAACTGCCATTAGCAAGAGGTTTTGAGGGCTGTTCACAAATCTCTTTAGCATATTATAAATTCCCCATAGAGCGCTCAGATGTCCCGGCTATGGGGATGCATGCTGCATACACCGCAATCCTGTCCCTGTGCTATCAACAGTAATGGTTTCACATCTAAAAATCGCGTCCTGGGAATATGGTTGAGCACACAGCACGCTAGAGAGGCATTAGCAAGAAAAGAGACATGTGGACGGCCAGAGCACGCAGGAGACTAGACCGTGACTCACTGCATAACCCGGAGGAACTCATTTACCTTCTTGTCTTTGGTGCAACCCTCTGTGAGAAATGTGTATCAAATTTTAATTACTTCATGGACTGTTATGTAGTCTGATTAATGATATTAGAGAGCACTTGGAGATCTCTGGATAAAGGCTGGTGTTTTTTGTAAGTCTATTATTACTACTTTCATAGCTTTCACTTCTTGTCTTGGGTCCCTGAGTTTAAAGCAGTTCTTTCTAATGCTCTGCACGCATTTTGTGAAACTCTGGCTGCTAGTGTCAAATGCCAGCATATTCACAGGGCATAAACCATCTGGTTTTGCTGAAACTAAATATTCCTGTGTTTACTTAGGAAAATGGATGCAGACATTTTCAGTTCTCGCAGCTGTTCCTTCCTGGGAAACAGGAGGAGAACAACATTTTTCTCTCCAAAGCAGAGGAATAGTAAGCTTGATTGACATTCCCCAAACTGCAGATCCTGCAGGCCCAAATTATTTGCCTTGTTTTGCTTCAGAAGTCCTTCCCCCTTCCTCGCTTGGGGAATAACGCCACAGCAGGTGTTGTGTATTTCTGATAGTTTGTGGGCAGTAGGACAGGCTGCCAGGGGAACTGAGATTGTGTCATATGCTAATAAATATAATTAAAAAAAAAAAAAAAGCTCCTTACACTTTTAAATAGTTCTGACTCCGAAAGATGAAGTAATCTGTGATAGGTACTGCCGGGTACACCTCACCTTGTCCTTGCTTTGCATGCGGCTCCCGGGAGGCTCTCCCTCATGCCTTCAAGGCAATGCTTATCTTGCCCAGGCTCTAAAACCCAGCCTGGAGCTATCAGGATAGGGCAGGGGTAGCTGCTCTTTTCAAAATAAGACTTTCAAGTCACATGTACTGGATTGAAATTTCTGTTTGGTTTTTTTTAAAACTGTTTCTTGACATCAACAATCTGTTTTCTTGTTTTAATTCCAGAGAAAATAAGGGAACATCTAGACCTGCCCTGCCTTTGAAGTATGCATAAAACGCAATGAGGGCATAACTATATTCACAGGAATCGAGGGTCAGTATTAATCTACGAAAAAATCTTGTTCTTCAAAAAATACTATTACTAAAGCTTTGATGATTATAGCAAACACATTTGTGTACCAGGCAAAGATCTCATCGTGTGTTTCAAATATTTCAGTTCTGTCTCTTCACTCCCTGGAAAGGCTCACGTATGTTATTATTCCCACTTTATAAATGTGGGAATTAAAACTGAGAGCTCACCAAAGTTGCCCAGGTAATGACGAGCAAATGTATGACAAGAATCTGGGGAGGCTGAGGCCAACTTACCTATTAGCTCTTTGAAGTGGAAAGAATAAGTGTAAAACATATGTAGAATATTTACGGTGTTACTTTAATAACAGCCTGCCTCTTTGGTTGGCTTAATATTTAACTATTTCTACAAACTGTAACAGTTACATCAAGAGAGATGGATCAGCTCTATTACCACACAGATCCAGACTCAAGGTCCCGCCCCATTTAATTATTTATACAAAGTGTTGCGGTTCCAAATAGTGATACCAAAAGACCCGCCTTGGATGCTGTAGTTCAGAGAAGAGTTTTTCACATCCTAGGTATGTGCCTCTCAACCGAAATCACTGGCTATTTTTGCACTGTCCTCCCTCTTCTCTAATTTCTCAGGAAAGTTGAGAAAGCCTTGGTTTTACCTCAGTGTAGAAAGTATTGGGGTTTGGTTGGTGGGTTTTTTTTTCCTTTTTTTAGATCTTAAAAGGATGTAATGAAACCTACTCTTTACCTATCTTTAGTGCAAATACTGAGAAACGAAAAAGGGTCATAAAGGGCTATGGAGTGAGATCTGGTTGGTTTTCTGCACCTGTCTCTGAATCTAAACTTTTGGGACAAAACAGTGATAATTTTTCTGCAGTCTTTGTATATTTTGAGATTACCTCAATACAGTTTCTTGCCATTTCTGACTAAAGAAACAGGACCTGTGAATATGTTGTAAACAAACTATTCTAAGAAAATACATTGCTGATTTGGATCACTACTTTCTGTTTCAAGTCCAAAACTGAAGGCGGCCACTGAGAAGGCAGCGGTGCTTCAGCTATCGCCGCCCAGGGAGAATATGCTCCTAATTACATGCTGGACACCTCACCACACGGCTCCTCCCGGCTTCTTCCTCCCATCTATGTAACAGCTGCAGTCAGCTCTGAGTTACAGTCAGCAAAGGTGATAGAGTACATTAGAAACCAGCTATAAAGATAGGATAACGCTGTAATACACTGCCATGGGCTGTCTAGCCGGTAACTGGCGACAGACCTAGGTGGGCAATGTAGCTGGAGCCATGGTTTTTGAAAGCAGCAGTTACAATGGTGTAGTAAATAACTTCAAAGTGCACTAACCTTAAAGTGGAGCGAGTAACAGAAGTACTAGCTGAACCAACGTAAGGTTACTAGGAAAGAGTGGGTAACGTCAGAGAGGACGAGACAGTGCGCTGCAGCTGGGGATGCAGTGGTCTCAAATTTGCAGCAGCAGCATTAAGTGAGAACCCATGTCTAGAGAGCCACAGTTTAGGGAATGACACTTACTAACGTGTAATTTTTTGCCAACTTCTTTGGAAATGTCTGTCCTTCAAATCTTCAGAACTCAGCATAAGAGCAGTGCAAATTAAAGGACACCTTGTGACAGCATGCGGATAAGGAGAGGTAAGTTGACACACAGGGTATTTAGGGTAAGTAACACTGAAACCAAGTAGGGGAAAGTTAGAAGCAAAGCCATGTTAGTGGACGTAAGAGGAGATGTCAAAATAACTGAAAGGAAGTTTAGAAATTTGAACGTTATTAATGAGAATTTGCCACAGGCATCAGCAACATTCAGCTCCTCCTCCTGCTTAAATCACCAGTTAGGTATCTTTGGCCTGTACCTGTGTATGCTATAATACCAAAAATTACTGAACATCTCCCCCTTGGTCAAAGAAATACATTCAGTCCACATGAACTATTTCTTTCTGAATCACAGAAGACAACGGGCCTCATTCCCTGATCTTTTCATTCTATTTGCTGCACTGGGATTACGTCAAAGTGAACCACAGGACCCGTCGAGTTTTACCCACTGAGGGAGAAACTCATGTACTTCTTTCCCTGCTCAAGCTATGAAGCAAAGTGGTGGGTGGGGGCAAACTTTACAGGGTTATGCAGCGCAGTGAGGTGACCATCCTCCCATTTGAGAACCCACATACAGCTGGGGAGTGACTCTCTTACCCAGCTATGCTCCCACCGCATGGGCCGATGGAGGAGGAGGTGGTGTGCGAGCTGGATGCAGCCATGACGGGAACCGAGAGGCGTCGTACTTCTGATGTCGAGGGTAGCACCAGCGGGCTTTCCTCATCGTACGACCCAGCTCTCCATCGGTCCCTCAAGAAAACTGAGAAAACAGAGGAGGAGTGAAATGGAGGAGAAAAACCAAGCTTCGTGTATTTACCAGAGATCCTCAATAATGCAATGGCATGACTTATACAGGTCGATGTGGGTACCAATGTGATGCGGTAAAATAAAGTCAGGCACCAGCCAGCGTCTGCAAAGAAAGAAGTGAGGTATTTTTTGCAGCTCATTCTGTTCCACAGCATCTCCAATTATTATTTTGTTATTATGATATGCTGCTGATTTGTTTCTCGAACATGCTGACATGCCTAGTAAAAACAGTTGTTATGGAACTATGTTTTGCTCAGTGTATCTGAAAGTTGAGTATCTTCTGGAGTTTTGGAAGACAAATTAATTGTATCTTTATGCCCCAGTGAAAGATAATTTCATATCCCCATTTTGTCATCAGTGCAGAATGTTCTGTGATAATATAATATAAAATAATATGTCTGAACCTGATGTTGCGATGGCTTAAAATAACCTTCAGGGCAGTTCAGTTGTGTGAAATGAAACTGGGACAATTCCTAAAAACTCAAGAGGGACTGTGGATCTATTAGTTTTGGCAGCAATAAAGTAGTTGGGATAAGGAAGATCCTTTTAAGAGCTGCGTAATTGTTTTTCCTAGTTTGACAAAAAATGGAAGAAAAATATTTTAAGTTTTTTTTTTTTTTTAGATTCTCACTACTAGCAGAATTTGAAAAATAAGAAAGGATAGCTGCATATGCTTTCAGCAGATGAGTTGGAATTACATTTCCATATACGCTGCCTACAAATGGAGATATAGAAAATCAGTTTTCTTTTCTGGAGTTTATTCCTCTTCCTTCAGCCTATCAAGTGAAACTTTATTATCATTGCATAGGTGTTTCAAGAGTGTTCTTTTACCTGACTGTCTGGACACCTAGCATCATCTGATGCCTAATCATTGCCCCGCCCTGTTCTAATTGCTCTTGTTTTGCTCATACTCATTTTCTGCTAATGAAGAGACAAAAAACTGGGATTTGAAATTATTTAAGGTGACACGATTTTGCTGGCTTGTACAGACCAATGGAAAAATTCAAGTTCGAGCTCACGGAGATAAGTTTCTACATCAACATCTATATTTAGGCATATAAATAAGTGGCCTGTTTTTTCTAGAACATCTGCACTTTGTTATTTTGTCGACGTACATGTATTTGTCTGCTGTCCCAGTTCACAAGAAGTTTTCACCACCTACATTTTAAAGCACTTCTCTGTCCATCCAAGGCAAGCATCTGTTGACAGAAGTATGTAAACTAACATGCCTTTGAGCGCTCATCTCAAAAAAAAAAGTTTCAAAAATCACCAAAAAAGTACTCTGAGCAGGTCCAGCCGCAATGAAACATAAACCACATTCGTTAGTTTTTCCTGACAAATGTGTTAGAGGAGGGCTATAAAGAGCACAACTTGTCATTCCAGTTCTGACAGATCTTCTTTAATAAACTGTGAGCTTTCACAGGCGCAGCTTCAGCAGAAGGGGTGACACACAGGTTACACGCAGCCTACTAGGACTCATTTTCTTGCCTTTTGTCCGTAACTGACGGCTGCCAACGTAACCTCTTCTCAACGTGAAGTCACCGCTCTCCTGCAGTAACACGCTACAGGGAGGTGGGGCACCACGAGAAGCGCCAAAGTATCCCCACATCCACGACGAAGCCCTCGGAGGTGCTCCCCGAGTCACAGAGGCAGCCGGCGGAG